AAGACAAAAAACACCGAATAATCCCGACTGGCAACTGGAATAGGAAAAACAAGCAAACAACAGATTCTGTAAAGAGGAAATGCTGTAAATAGCAGTGAAAAATGTGCATGGCGGCTGTCATACTCAAACAAAAAACACACGAAAGAGAGTCGTCAAATACCAAGAGTATGCCTAGTAGTAGTAGTAGTAGTAGTATTCTCTTGAGCAAGAACAGTAAGGGCAGCAAGGCAGCGTCAAGAATAGCAGTAGTTCGCAGTAGCAGAAGCACCAATACAGGCAGTAGCGCAGCAGGAGCAGCAGCCTTAGGAGTAGTGGTCGTCATAGTATCCCGCAGTCGACAGAGGTAGTAGCTGTTGTTGTTGTTGTTGTATCACCGGTATGTACATTCAACGGCAATCAACAGAGAAAGGCACCCGGCCAGACATTTCCGATCTGCACGAGGGGTATGTTTGGCGGCAAACACTCGACGGAGCTTTTCAGTAAGGGCCAACCAGGGAAAGAGACTGCTTGAAAAAACGAACTGAGAATATAAAACATCAATCATTCTGGCTCGGAGCGCGGATTCGAGAATACGGAATCAGAAGAGTCCCACCCTCGAGCCTCATAATCTCCCGTCATCTCTTTAAAGTACTGCTCATGAGCGCAGTCAGTTTGCCAATATTTGCAGCTTCGCGCTTTCGTGGACACATCGATCATAAGCACGGGATACGCTTGACCCACCTACATAAACTCACGGACATTTGCCGAATGGGATGCAACTTCAGCTTCGGCCTGGTTTGCTTGTACCACGTGAAGTTGAGAAATCTGAGAGATCTCTGCAACAAGCACCAACGGCCAGGTCCATCGTGGTATGCCCAGGACAGGAGCTTGCCAGAAGTGGTGCACCTGAACTTTGATTGGCTTTGCTTGCTTGCTTCTTTGCAGGTCAACTTCCTTCCCCTGGCCTTGGTGCGCTCTGCAGCGGAGCGAGCGAAGCGTCGGCCATCCGAATCTGAAACTAATGCTGACAGGGCCTTGTTCCACTGCCTTTGCCGGAGGTGATCTTGCAAGCCTTGCAAGCTTGTGGCAGCCACTTGCCGGAGGCGCCCACTCCCGCTCCTTGCAGCGCACGCAGCGTGCCATTACGATCGACTCAGCTGTTCACATGAAGCGCTGCCAGCAGCCGTCTCCTCAAAGCTTTCGCCGTGGCGAGAGCGGCGGATCATTGAGGCAGCGCCGCGGCAGACAGAATTATGGGGGGAAGACATATGACAAGACAAGGCGTCACTCTTCCCCATCTGCGGCACAATTTTCACCCTTGAAGGGGTACCTAACCAAACATGAAATGCACAAATGCAGATGCAACGCGCCCCAACGTCCCCTGCACTCAGCCTGCCAGCTGCATAGTTCACGAGAATTCAAGCCACAGCCCCCACATCCATGCGCGTTTCCCGATGCAGGTTCATGCGTCCTCGAGAATGGGAGAAAGTTGTGGAAATCGAGCTGCAACGGCGCTCACATCCTGAGCCGCAGAACACGATTCTTTGATTTCCTGAGCTAGTTTTGGTTGCATGGGAAGAATTTTTTGGAGAGCAAGCCCACGTGAACTCGTCGACTCTAGCGACCCAGCCTGCACGGTCGCATGCTGCCTTGGGCCAGCGCGGCAAGGACAAGTTCTGTGCTGCGATATGTTGAAACCACGTAAGGACGAGACGGCCAGGCTCCGTGGCTGCTAAAGCAGTAGCCGAAGTTCTGTGATCAGCAAGGCCGAACAGTTGCTGGAATGGCGGAGCTCAAAAGCAGTCCTGCTGCACCCACGCAGTCACAGAGCTCAGCTGGCACGAGACTGCCTCAATTGCAGCCTGGAGGGAGTTGCTCGGGTCTGCCAAGGCATTATCAACCGTTTCCAACAGTAACATGAAAGTCACACCGGTTGCCTCTAGATTTCTCTGCATGAACTCCGAGTGCTTCTGTATTTCTTCAACTTCCTCGCACGATTGCTGCGCATGCATTCATGACATTTCTGACATAGATGACCTACCAAGAGCCGGCCCAGCCCCAGGCTGATCACGCTGACATGGTGCATGCTGCGCAACAAACCCGAGTCCAAACCACCCCATTGAGCTGCCAAGCAGCATATTGCAATGCAAACACAATCTCAACGCGACTCCCAGCTCTGCCTCCTTCAGTTGATGAAGGGACCGCTCAAAGGGGGCCTCTCGTGGTCTGAAGGTTTGGTGGGAACAACTTGCAACTGAGCTGCACAGACATGGCAAGCAGTTGATCGCTGAGACATGTTCAAAAAACTCTCAAGCAAAGACGCAGAGGCAGTGCATTTTCGAACGAGGTTTGCGAGTGACAGCCTTGCTTCCTCTGCAGATCTTCAACTCGAGGTGCTGTTGGCCTGCGCTCACTCCTCCACGCCGCCGGCTTGCTGCTTCTTGAGGCGTGCAATGG